CAATACCTCGTGACCTAAATTAACCAAAAAAAAGTTCGAGAACTAAATTGACACTAGCTTCATAATTCACAAGGCAAAATGGCAGTTACCCCTTCCATTTATAGAAGTATATGTTTCCTAGAATGAAAAAGAAAAATGTTAAGATACTTTATTCTTTGAAGGTGTTTTTTTTTTAATGGGTAAACTTGCATTGGACAGTTAGAAGTCAAGTGCCACGTAGATATTTGTAGAGTCGTTCTACACTGTATAACATTTCTCAATAAATTAAATGAATAAAAGTAAGAAAAAGTCATTGAACTATCTCAAGGATGATACAAACCTGCTCTTCAGCTGGCAAATCCTTTGAGGAAACCTTTGCAGGAGCACCATCAGGCACACTCACGCAATTATGAAAGCCAGCTTCTTCCATTGCGAGCTTATCAATTTCGCCTTCAACCTATTTCATAAAACAAAACAAAAGAAAATACATATCGAGTGCAATAATAATGTTTGAAGGCATCAATCACTGAAAAAATGATGGAAGCCATACAATGATGATATCATTAGTTCCCTTTATATCATCCAGCCCATAAAAAATCCTTTCAGTATCCTTTTCCTGAGATAAAAGCAAAATAATGAGATCCAAATGACAGTATTACTAACACTTAAACCAAAAATGAATAAATAAACCTCTCTCTCTCGCTCTCTCTTAGATATATACATACTCTGTGTGTATGTGTTGGTATGTGCTTATATAAAAAGGTCCCTTATAATTATATATTAAATGCTCAACATTTCAGCCATTTCTTGTTAAAACACTTTGGTTAGATATACAAAGCATCACTTATTGCAAAAACCTGCCAGAACTTCTTTTCGATGTCCCGATACTTGCAACTAACAAGCATTCCGTCTCTCCAATAAGGAAATGCAATACAAATCTGCATATAAAATTTCAGAAGCAATTAGGTCAGGCAAAATCAGAGTCACATCTAGGTCAAGTAGACTGAAGTGCAAATATCTGCCCCAGGACTGAGATAATAATTATAGCTTATGTCACCCTAGGTTTTCTCAATTTATGTCATCAAGAATTATTGCATCACCACTCTCTATTAAAGGGACAGTGAAACTTAAATGCAACTTTTCAAGTTCTGTGCCATAAGTATAACTTCATCAGTGCACTGTTCTGAAATCCATATGCTTTGTATATAATCAATAGAAGTCTAATGTTTCAAAGTTACTAGAGAGAAGATATATTTCATATGCAGGAAGTATAACACTCAAACCATTATGAACCATTCAGGTGTTTATACGATTTGTCCGAGCTGTGATGGATTTAGTGAACTGTCTGATGTTTCAAAGTTCTTCCCTAAAGATAGAAAACTTCAAGCTTGCTTCTCTTTTTTGGGTTTTTTATCCGGCATTTTAATGCATTATATTGAAGGAACCTAAAGTCAAAATAGAGAGCCCTACGAAGATTTTTTACTTCATTTTTACTAACAAAAATTATGATCCCATTTCATCTGTGCAGTTCAGTTTTGAAACTTGATTGCTAGGTGAAAAGAGGAAACTTCTAAAGTGTAGTAATCTAGATATTTGTAATACCCACATAAGCATGTTGTTCTAATTTACACAACTAAGATCGTGAACAGCTTGATATAAAAAGGAAAAAGTGAAAATCTTTTTCCCTAGCGTCATGCACCTGAACACCTGTAGTTTTTTGCATTACAGCATTTCTTCTCAATGTTTCCGTTGATATACTTCGCTCCGAAAAATAAGCAACAAGCTGAAATAAGAGCAAAATGAATATATATTCACTATGTTGCATTCAGAAAGATTTAAACATAAATTTACTGATAATATTATTAGTGTCACAATCCAGTACAAGAAGCACTCGAACCTCCTCACAAAGTGGTTCCAGTCCTAGACTTTCCACCGTGATTTCCCTTTTTTTCTTCACTTTGGCGATTTGATTTGAAGTTTCACGTGACAACTTGTTATCTCCAACGGCCTGAAAAGAAAGGATGACATTAGACCAAGTGACTCTCTTGTCATCAATTTTCAATATTATATGATAGCAATGTATTCTAAATCAAGCTTGGAATAGAAACCATACCGTTGTTCTACCTTGCCACCCACATTTCCCACGAAAGCAACACCAAAAAGCAGAACCCCTAAGAACTCATAAATGCCAATATAAATATGACTTGCAATCTGTTAATAGAGAATCAGGAAAACTTGTAAAAGGCTAGGAAAAACATACCAATCTTCTGAAATATAAACCGATAAGCTCTTTTCCTCTGAATCACCACCTTTGCACTAGCATATGAGAATTCACTTCAGTTTCACACTGAAATTTCACTCCTTCCTTTTACTTATTTAAAATAAAAGCATGTATACATGGTATTAGGTCATCATGTCCACTCAATTCCCTGATTTTTTTAATCCTATAATTTCTAAACAATATAAAATTTAAAAAAAAAATCTCAGCTTAATCTACTTGTATGAAAATTTTCCATATTTTTGCGCCTGCTTCACCCTTAAATGTGTCTACAGGCCTTAGATGAGGACATGTCCACAGAAATTCTCTTTGTTGTTCTCAAAAGTCATTGTTATATTCTTACAGAATCCCTTTATTGAACGAGTTACCTAGTCAAGAAAGTACTTCTTTTCGTCCAAAGATAATGTCAACTACTCTCAATAACTACCTTGAGTTCCACATAGTTTCCTTCAGGTTAAGTCTGCTCATACTTAAAACTTTTGATTAAAAACAGTACCGGTAACTTATTTTATTACTATACACAATAGCAATTACTTATCCATAAGAAAATGTCGTTTTTTTTCCTACAACTAATTATTTACAGCTAAGATGCCTAGCATTTGAGGAATATCTGAACATCTTATAGATTTCATAAATTAAAATAATGAACACAAATGGGACATAAGTGTATGCTGTTACAATTACCATCAAAGATTAAATAATTCATGAAATCCAAAAGCCAAAACAAATCAAAGCCCAAAAGATTTTCTGAAATAAATATAAATGGCGGCAGAAGTAAAACTCTTAACGTACTATTGGACAAATCAAGTGGTTGTACTGCCCTGGCATACATATTCCGTAGTCTATGCCAAGCATCTCCAATTTCAGCTTCAAACGCGACAATTGGTTAAAGTCCACTCTCTTTTCTTCTGCGTTTTCTAATTCAGCTACATACAATTGAAAAACATATAACATATCATTATACACATAATATTATCATAATCCTCTACACACACACACACACACACAAAAGATTCACTTTTACACATGCGTAGTTTGTTCTGAGGTTTTCTAATGAATTTGAAAAACGGCACATAGAAAAATTTACTTAACAAAAGTTGAAAACAGCATATCGTTAAGCAAAACTTTACCAACAGGAGTCTAAAGGGCCATACCTGGTGCGGCGCCATTGGCATGTGAGACATAAGAATACCCATTAGTTCTAAGGCAAAGTGGCCGCGTTTTAGACATGGGTTTTGGCGAGAGTGGAGAGAAAACGAGTCTATGGGAGTGAAATGAGTGTCTTTGTGAAGGAGTTAATGGGTTTGGACAAGGAGTGGACTTGAAGAGTTGCACGGTGCCCATTAGAAGACCAGCGCTTGAGGTTAAAAAGGAGAGCTTACGAAGAGGTCGATGAAGAAGAAGACGCATGTCTCTGCAAACTAGCAACTGGGTTTTGAAAGAGGGGAAAGAGAGAGAAGAGGGAAGAAGAGGGTAAGGTACTTGAGAAGAGGGGTTTAAGGGTAAAACCTGTTTCTTAAATCTCAACCACGACCCGGGACCCAATTAACTACCCGTCAACCCGTACTCGATCACATCAAACGCCCCAAACGGGGCCTGTCATTTTTTTTATTTTTTGGTAATTCTGGTTTAGCCCATCAGTGAACAGATGACTATAAAGATCTAAATTACCAACAACACAAAAAGACTACAGAGATCATTTTGTCAGGAATGGCTCAAATGGTTAATAGTATTTACCGTTGTAGTTTTGTCTAAAATCCCACTCCTATAGTATCACTTGCATGTCCAAAACATACATTATCCTCAAAATACTTTTGCATCCATCATTACACTTTTTTTTACCTCCTCGTTATTTACTTTTTAAAAATAAAAATAAAAATAAAAAAACAGTGGTGATGATGAGGAGTATCATTGATCAATGAACATGACATCCACAAAGTGAAGCCTTGATGGCGAAATTCTGTAGTGAGAGTGTCATATATGAATCCCTCATGTGGACCTTCATATTAACTATAGGATCATTTCATTAAACTTAAGTGAAGTTACTATTCAGATGAATATTGTAGTTAATATGAAGGTCCACATCTATAGTTCATATATGGCACCCTCATTATAGAACGACTATGCCTTGATGCTGGCAATGCGATTGGAAATAATTAATGGGCCGGCCTAATTTTCAACCCCAATTTCAAATACAGAAACCGACCCTACCCGAAGTCTAAACGGGTCACATTTTGATACAATATATATAACATTCATATATGGCTGATATCCCAGGCAATCAATCACTCAAGCATCTTGACTGTATGCAAATAACCCTTTGGCCTTTTAGGCCTGGAACCCACACTCCCCATTCCATGTGTGTAATAAACAAAAGAAAGTATGATTGCTAGTTGCTGCTTTATAAAAGAAATTTTCCTTCTGCTCAACTCCAACATTTCTTCTCAGTTCCCAATCAGGGAATGAGTAAATGGAAGAAGCATGTCCATTATATGCATTTGGAACTTTAGCTGTGATCCACTGCACTCTGGTTTGGAAACTCTGGGAGACTCGAAAACTTTCCCAAAAGCCTGCTAGCAACTCATGAAGCAAATGAACAATCTCTGCTCATTATTCAAAGCCTATGAAGCCAGGGGCCTGAAGAAATAGGTCTCATCTTCATCAAGTATGCAATTTCAGAACATATCCATGCTTTTAAAGATGCTGAATCCTACTTCCCAAGCAGTCTAAATCAAATGCAGAATTTGCTTAATAACAATAAACTGAAATAATTGCTGAAACTTTGGAATGAAAGGGCATACTTGGTTTAATTACAGAAATCTGGGTTCTAAAGTATCATGGTTTGAACACAATGTTGTATGCAACTAACATGTAATCAGAAAGCTAATGTACCTCTCATACAAATGGCCAAAACTAATATATCTCATCATCAGGGACATCTGGTGTCAAAAATTTCATTGGATCTTTACTAATTTCCTCATAATTCATTCTCGGCTTCACCTTGTCTGGGACAGGCACCAGAGGAATAATGCTATCTCCATCAATAACTCCATCAATTATTCCATATTCAACTGCTTCTATGGGGGACATATAGCGATCCCTGTCAATATCCTTTTGGACTTGTTCAAATGGGCGACCAGTGGAATTTGAAAGAATTCTTGTGACATTGTTTTTATTATGCATGACTTCTCGAGCTTGAATTTCCACATCTATTGCCTGGCCACTAGCACCTCCAAGAGGTTGATGAATCATAATCCGTGTATTGGGCATCGCAAAACGCTTGCCCTTGGTGCCACCACCAAGGATTATAGACGCTGTTGATGCTGCAATGCCAAGTGCAACTGTGGAGACATCAGCCCTCACAAGCTGAACGACATCATAAATAGCCATTGTAGCACTAACACAAATAACAAAAAGGTAAATCAGCAAGCAAATAAGGCAGAGCAGAAAAACCATGAAAGCATTAGACACAAGAATAATGTTCAACATGAAATTAACTAATTCATTTAGTTCTTCTGATGGCATCAATTGTATGTTTGCTTCCACTGAATTCAGTGAATGTGAGCTACTAAGCTATTTGTGTGTGACTTTGTGCATTAAGTACAGAGATTGTAAAGTCATACTAAATGCAAACAGAAACATCATAGCATAATCATCATCCCCACAATGATAAGCTAAATGTGAACAAAGCAGAATAAAAAAATGGTCCAGTGATCTTGTCTTAGCAAAACTCCCTTGATAAAAAAAAAATATGAAGCATGAACTCCCTGCTTACATCATATTTCCACAACTCATAAGCTTAATCTCATAATTCAACAGATTCATTGGCCCCCTCAATCGCATAAATAAAGAGAAGTGTATATATCTAAACTCCAAAAACCAATGCCCAAATTGTGGGCATCCCAAAAGAACACTATCTATTTCACAAGAAACCTACCTAATCCCACATTTGCCTTCAAAGACCCTAAAATTCATTTCCTACTAAGTCACCTGAGAAACAGCCAACACACTACAGCTCCACAAAACTTTTCCGCCACCATAAGCACAAAAAATCTCGATTAATAGAGAAATACAAGATTCCAGATTGCACAACTCAACCTTGCCTCCCTAAAAGCTTATGCAATAATCTAAATGCAAAGTAGACAATGGAGGAATAAAAGGTCAATATGCTCAGCTGCTTCCTTGCACAATAAGACACCAAGAAAGTCATATAGAATATTAGACCTCCTCCATTACATACTATCACTACTATTAACCCTTTCATGAGCAATTACCCCACACTCAGCTGATTTGCAGATGATATTATATCTACCTCTCACATAGACATCTAAGGTCAATTGGGTCTCTAAGATCCATGAATGATAAAGACACTGATGAATCAAAGCCTAAATCACATGTTTAAAATTTATGTATGTGCACTTGAATGCATGTTTTATGCATATAACTTGTACAGTTACTTTACTATTAGGAGACAATAACTAGCATCAGTGCAGATGCTACATAAATATCTTGACATAAAAGAAGATGGGCACAAAAGTTGTAACTAGATAAACTCCAATTTGACCATGTTCTAAACCTGAAAAATTATGCCAAGTTTTCAATGGGAACATGAAGAGAGAGCGGTGCACTATGCTTTTGTTCCCAACCTATGCCAACGGATTTGGCCTTTATCTATTCTCATAAGATAATCAAACAGCCCCGTTCCATTAAGTCTCCATTACACATGAAGAAACCACCTAAATGAACTTTTCTTATCTTGACAAGTATCAGTATCATCCGACAAAAGCACAAGCGCAAACATACCATTAGGAAGTGCAAAAATGATACACTGAGACATCTATATAAGCATATTTCACAGTTTTTAACACCAATGCTAAAAATATAGAAGGAAAGAAAAAAAAAATTACACTTACTAACCAATAACGAGTCATGAATGATGACCAAATCAATGTCTTCCCCGCAACATAAATGATTAGAATGAAATGTAATCAAATAACATCCTAATGAAAATATGGTATCCTATATCACTCAAAGGCCCCATAAAAAAAATGAAAACTTTCATGCTTTCAAACAACAACCAAGAAAAATAAACAGATGCGTAAAAAGCATGAAGAACCTGAGAGAGCCGCCAGTTGAGTTAATGAAGAGCTTGATATCCTTTTTGGAGTCCTGGGCATCCAACAAAAGCAGCTGGCTAATAATAGCGTCAGCCACAAAGTCGTCAATGCTACTGCCCAAAAAGACAATCCTTTCCCTGAGCAAAAGCCCCATGGCGTCACCCTCGGCGCCTCTCATGGCTGTAGCAGGCGTCTGAGGAGCTGAGGAAATCAGGAGCGAGCCGTCAAGTGCTTGTGACTTGGAGGTGAAAGTGGGTTTTGGGGTTTGGACAGAAAGAGACTTAATTGTGGGAAATTTCGAAGAAGAAGAGGGAAAGTGGGAGATGGGTTTGGAGCGAGAGCTGTGAGAGAGCTTGGAAGTAGGGGTGTGAAGGAATATCGGGGATGAGATTGAGAGCACGTCCATGGCTGCTGCACACTTAGGTAGTGTCTCTGTCCGATAACAGAGATAAATTTTGCGTTTAGTAGTTGATTGGTGAATCGAGGGCAGCCTGGACAGGTCTATTACGCTCGCAAGCCCAACTGCATCATCCTCTTTGAGTTTTATTTGCATTTTTGCATAAATTCTTTTCTTTTTTTTATAAATAAAATTAAAAATTAAAAAGCTTTCTTCTTTTTGCAATTAAAATTAAATAGTATACATTTATTTTTGCCCTTGTGACATTACTCTTTGGTAAATATTTTGGTACATTACCAACTAGCCTTTAGTTTAATGGTATTTATTTGCACTTGGTTGGATGCCCGGGACATTTTCTTTTCTTACGTAAAGGAATTGTTTTTCTGATGCCCAAAAAAATGTCAACTTGACTGAAGATAAAGCTCCAGTTAGAATTAACATATATGGTAACTTATTGCAGTACAACAAATTTAAAAAAAAGAGATTACATATGGTTGAGAGTAAAATTCACAAGAAGATTCGGGGAGGTAAATCCCCAGAATTTCAACCTATTTCCAACAATGGGGTCGAATCTGTATAGCGAGTTCCTTCTATACAAACTAAGCAATGATTGTTAACCTGTTCTACCTTCTCTTCTATACAAAGTTAAATCAACCTAAACCCCTGGGGATATGAACGACAAGTAGAAAATCTTGTAAAAACTTTGCAGCCTTCATGTGAGCTTCGTGTGCTAAGAAGCTGGTATTCTTTCTGGCTTATGCTTGTCTGAACTTACTACTTGGTCTGAGATGCATAGCTGATACGGTTTGGCATTTTCAATTACCTTTCTCAAAGCATCAGGTCCCATATGCCTTAGAACCTATGGTCATAATTCAAACATTAGATAGAAAGCAGGCCAAGATTCCTAAGAAATCAGTACTTTTCCAGAGTGTGAAAGCAAATATATAACAAATGTTATATTATGTAACCCTATACAAACTCTTCCTTGTGAAACAAAGCCATGAACCAAAACCACAGTGAAAGAATCCTGTCATGTGTGTATGGGTGTGCTTGTGTGGTAAGTTGAGGTCCAAAAATCATGTGGCTTTATAAGGCTTTAACTGAATTTGTGCTTTCATTTCTAGAAGTTTTAACAAGGAAAAAAAATAATTATATTTCTTAACAAATTTCAAAACTAAGTTCCAAGTCAGTGACCAAGTATAACTGTAAATTGGGATCTCAAGATATTGGCAACCTTGGTCCTGAAAAAAGCTCATATACAACCCTAGAACAACTATTAGTCTAGTAGCAATTAAAAACAACAGCAGTGACAATGAGGGAAAAGAGTGGAAGCACCAGACCTCATTAGCATCTTTGTAATAGCTGGACTCATCTTTCTTTGGCCAACTTACTTGCCAACATCTGACATCCAACGAAAATAAAAGGAAATAAGTGGACAAATATACATGTTGGTATCTATACATATGTAGACATATGGCGTAATGCCCCTTTTATTTTCTGATAGAAACACCAAACTGAGCATTTTAGTATCTAAGCCTTGAGTCTGACAGTCTTCACAACAGTTAAGAACCCCAGTTTAGAAAATTGTTTATGTTCAAGTTCGTAGACTTCATGAACTTTAGCAATCTAACCCAGTGGTCTAACAACAGGCCTCCCCTAGCCCTGTTTCATTAAGCAAGAGTGAACATTAATTTTCTGAATCAATTGCCTTTTACACAAGAAAGAGGAGTTTTTTAAATGCGAGATATAAAAACATCTCTCCATGGCACCAGTAGTAAGTGCAAGTCCCATGGAAATTGTTGGTTGCAAGAAACAATTTACAAAATGAAATGGAAGTCATTCATCTAATGAGTTGCATAAAAAATTTAGTACACAAACAGATTGAAGGATTCTTCAAATACAACACACAAACCACAGAAAATTTCTTTAACCTGTGCGCCCCAAGGCGGAGTGCTATATCTCTGGCCAAAGCTTGTCCTGGTTTATCATTGTCAGTTGCCAGGATAATCCGAGAAACCTAACAAGTAAAAGTGTTAAACAACAGTTTACTTACAAATGTTTAATTGGAGGGCAGACAACAGTTTACATACCTTATCCAAATGCTGTTTGCAACTCCGCAGATACTGATATCTAGTGTCCTAATATGCATGCAGCGAGGAAGGTGGAACATTGTCAATAAAAATTCGTTCAAGTAATTTTCCCTCAGATGTTGATACATCTATAGTTTATTGTTAAATCCGTAGTTGAGCAACATTTCATTAATTGGGACATGTCATTAACTTCATACTCGTATATAGGTATTTTACGATGCTTCTGCTATGTAACAGTTTCATATACCATGTTATGTTGCCACTTGAAATAAAACTATAAATCTAAACCACATAGATAGCCTCAAAAGGATTAGCTCACACCTTTTCCACAGGTGGCAATTTATTAGAACTCTTTCCTGGCGCACCATCAGGGACACTCACACAATTGCAGAAGCCAGCTTCCTCCACTGAAAGCTTGTCTATTTCACCTTCAACCTACAAGCAGCATCAGAATCACAAAAGTAAGGTGGGGGACCAGGGGAGAGAGGGGGGAAACATTACAAAACAGGGGAAATTGATGTCACAATGATAATTTCAGCTGCATCATTTATGTCATCAATTCCATATAGTGTTTTCTCGGAACCCTTCTCCTGAAAATCATAAAGGGAAATTGAAATCAAATTTTGATTCAAAAGCATCCACATTTCACATCATAGCCATGCACATTTTCCAGGACAAAAAACCCGGGGAAAGTTTAGCATGTGTACCTGCCAGTATCTTTTTTCTATGCGTCGGAACTTGCAGCCAACAAGCAGTCCATTACGTTTATAAGTAAATGCAATGATATCCTGGAAACCGCAGTAGTTTTAAAATAGATCAACGTCTCAATGATGAAGTGCTTTGAAAGTAAATGTTTGAGCATGTGTCACAGGTAGGGGCTTACCTATGTGATTCGCTACGCTTGCTTAGATTAAATAAAAGTATGCGAAATGAAGGCAAGGTTCTTAGGGTGGGTGGGAACCGCTTCTTATTCCCACCTAAAATGCATGAAAAATAGAAGAGTGGTCCAAAATTGAATATGGTTTTTCTGTTGATAATAAAATCACTGATAACAAAACATATTCTAGTAAAGAAATGACAAAATCAAATCTATTCTATCTGTATATAACTGAAAATATATTACACTTTTTTTTTTATGAGTAAAGTAAATTTTCGACAAGTTCCGAGTGGTTGCAATTTTGATTATTTGACGCTCAAGGATGCACAGGCAAGAAAATGGATTTGACAATCTTAAGCAATTAAACTTAGGATGATTATACATTTGCAAATGTTCCTAATCAGAGTTTTATCTCAACCGGTTTCTCTTGGAACGAATGTCACTTGACTGAATCATACCAACTCACAGTGGATCCAAGCAAATTAATATCAGAAAATGATGAAGTGAACAACCTCACACAAGCTGTTGACCACTACAAAGAATATAACTGCCCAACAAGTTCAGAAGTTTCTTTCACAGATGCTAAACGCAGAAATATTGGTAAATAACTGAATATAGGTCAAATTTAATCATAATCCCAGAATCACCCATCAAAAATAAATTAGCAAGTCCACCAAATGATAACTTCAGGTTCAGGGGTACCTTATCACCAGAACGTTGCATTACAGCATTTCTCCGCAGAGTTTCGTCAGATATCATTCGCTCACTGAAGTATGCAGTTACCTGAAAGTTACCTGAAATAATTAAAGAGTGTTTATTTATACAAGATAGTAACATGTCAGAAGTAGCACAACATAGGAGACTCAAAGACAGACAAAGAGAGACTGACAATGTAAAATACAAGGAAATGATTATAATCTGCTATTTGGACACAAATGTGTGTCCGTTTTCAACTTAAACTGTGGAGACGTGGTATAACATGCATGTCTTTGAATTAATTAAAATCATGTTTTGGGAAGATATTTTATCATGTCATTCAGCATCTTCCGAATAGAAGTGTCCTACAATACACATTAACATGCTTACCATTTTATTTGGGATCGAAGAGGACAAGATTTGGAAATACCTCTAATACACGTTACCATACTTACCATTTTATTTGGAATCGAAGAGCACATGACAGGACAGGAGGGCCAAGCAATTAAATTATTGGTCATTTTTATACCAGAAAGATTTTTGCAAACATGGACATCCATTGATCAGACATTGGTAGACATACGTCAATGTAAGTACCTTTTCCCCTGGTGGTTCTAACCTGAGGCTCTCCTCTGTCATTTGTCCAGAGAATTGGACTATCTTCTTCACCTCATTATGTGCTGCCCTGCCATCTATGAATACCTATAACGAAACAATGAGATGATTCATATCTAATGAGTCCTACCTTTTAAATTCTTAAATTTTTGGGCATAGAAAAAATACAATTACACAATTGTATTGTGTTCACCTTGTCACCCCAACTACAATCAGTTCGAAAACACCTCCACATTGCCAAATCCCTACAGTATCCAATCACCAAAGTAATTACAACCCAATTTCTCGAACAACCCATTATTGGAAATATGCAGTGACACATATAAAGAAACTAGCAGTAGCAGCATACCCCTTTTGGACAATGTGAACAGACAAGCTCCTCTCCATTGACGGTCCACCGTTGCACTGTTTTGGCAAAACATTGAAAAACTTGAGATCAATTACCAAAATAAGTTCCACTTCATTGAATCCTTGCTAGTGCTCTATAGCATTTGATTATATTATTGAAATTTTACAAAACATAAAAGAACCCAAGAATTATCACAACCAAGTATTGCAAACAGTACCTTGGGACACAGTAGATTAGTATAGCGTCCAGGCACACAAGAATCACTACAAAGAATCCCAAGAAGCTCCATTTTCTGCTTCAAGGTATCGACTTTAGCCACGCCAATGGTCTGCTCCTCCATTTTTTCCACAATAGCTTCAAAAACAACAATCACCCAAGTCATGAACAAGAATAACAAGGCACTAGAAGGAGCTTTCTCATGAAATTGATGCGTTTGAGAGAGGCAAACAAACACCTGGTGGTGGAGTTGGGCCATTGCTGGAATGAGAGGAAGAGTAAGACCAAACACGGACTAAAGGGCTACTTGATGATAGGGAACTGCTAATTAAGCGGCGTCTGGAGAAGACGAGTGCAGTGATGAGAGGACGATAAAGGCACAGACTTGAAGCACTCATTAGATTTCTTCTTGGTACTGGTTTCTGGATTCTGGATATTTATGTTTTGCATTCTTCTTTTTCTTTTTCTTTTTTTCTTTTTTTAAACTAATAAATAAATATATACATATAATAATATTAAAAAAAAACTCTTTAAAATGTTAAATAATCGAATTTAGAAGTGATGTACAACAAATGGTTGAATAGATTGAAAAAGAATTGGAGTGAAGAAGGGAAAAGTGACACAGCAAGAATTTACAGATTTGGTATCCGAGCTTCAATTGGGTCTCATAATACCTTCTTGAAAAAGGAACGACACCACGCGTCTAATTCACCGTTTTGCTGTGACATAAGATGAATTTTGGGCTTCTGAGACCGTTTGGGCTTCCAAAACTGCATTTCAAGATTGTATTCAATTTACAAACTTTCCGTTTATTTTCTATTAAGCTTTCAATAACTCCCCAGGGCAGTCCAAAGGATAAGAACGATGTATTTAATTAGCCGTCATATATGGTTGAACTCAACTCATCTTTTATCAAATAATACAAATAGTGAGAATTTTCTCTTTAACTTTTTGGTGGATTCAAGGCTTATGTTCTTTTCTAGGTTACACTTGTAACCTATTTGCTTGTGCTGCGTCAAGAAGAAAAAAAAACACTTAGAGCATCCATAATCATGCTCTCTATTTTTTAGTTAAAATTTAACTAAAAAGTTATTTTAAAAACTCCCTATAAAATTTAAACTTCAATCATGCTCTCTAGTTTAGAGAGTTATAAATGCTATAACTCTTTTTTAATTAGTCAATCTCTATTAAAAAATAGGCTTATTATCACAAAACGTCCCTAAGGTTTACGAAACTATCATATTGCATCCTTAATGTTTTTTTGTGTCACTCGTGATCCTCAAGGTTAGTATGTGCTATCACAAATGGTCTATGATGTTAGGTTCTATCAAAAACTCTGTTAGTTTGCTGACGTGACATATATATATCACAAAACATCCTTGAGGTTCACACACTTATCACAAATGATCCCTACGAATTTTTTTATTTTTTTTTAATTTTTTTAATTTAAAATTCATAAAATTTTAGTTTTCTTTTTAAAATTATTTATAAATGAAAAAACCATTTATAGAAGGATTTTAATCTTGAGGACCATTTATGAACCCTAAACGCTTAGTTTTTTTCATTTTAAATTTTATGAATTTTAAATTATTTTTAAAAAACTCCATTGGTTTGTTGATGTGGCATATATATGGAGGCCACATCTACAATAATATAGTGTCACATGTATTTAAAACATAATATGTATTTTTAAATTTTAAAAATTAAAAAATTTCGTAGGGACCATTTATGATAGGTGGGTGAACCTCTAGGATGTTTTGTGATATATATATATATGTCATATCAGCAAACTAAAGGAGTTTTTGATGAAACCTAATGGCAGGGACCATTTGTGATCACACATACTAATTTTGAGGACCACAAATGACACAAAATTACATTAAGGATACAATATGATAATTTCGTAAACCTTAGGGACGTTTTGTGATAATAAGTCTAAAATAATTGAAGAAATAACTTTAGCCCAATTAGCTGAACTGGTATTTTAGCTCTAAACCCTAAAATAATATGACAAAATTGTATATTTAAAGCGTATAGCCGTTCGGCTATACCATTAAAATATATTCGAATATTTTTAAGATATTGCCGCACGACTATATTCGTAAAATATATTATTTTAGAGGTACAGCTGTGCGGCTGTAAGCATTAAATATATTATTTTAGAGGTGCACAAGGCTTGCACTCGCAGTCACAGCCATTTCGCTTCTCTATAAGCTTCTAAGCTTCAAAGACTCGGTCTTGAACCCCTCTCGCTCTCTCTCAACTCAAGGTTCGATTTTTTTCTTTTGTTTCGGTTGCTGCGTTGATTGGATTGGATTGAACTCTTTCTATGAAAACCATCAAATGACATTCCGCTATTGAAATCTCCACTATGATAACAACTCTGATGCTATAAAATCTTAAAATCCTTTGAAGAAACTCTCTTATAATCGTTTTTCCATTTAAACAAACCAAAAAAATTGCAAAATCAGAAACATACGTAAATTGGACGCCATGGTAGCAACGCAGAGAGACTCGAACTCGCAGTTAGGCGGTTTGGGCGGAGCTAGGCGGTCTAGGTGGATCTAGGCGGCCCCTAGGCGGTCTGGGCGGATCTGGGCGGCCCCTAGGCGGTCTGGGCGGATCTGGGCGGCCCCTAGGCGGTCTGGGCGGAGCTAGGTAGCAGCTAGGCGGTTTGGGCTGATCTAGGCGGTCTAGGCGGATCCGGGCGGCCCCTAGGCGGTCTGGACGGATCTAGGCGGCCTACGTAGGTCTAGGCGGGTCTGGGAGCCAGGGCGGGTCTGCGTTGGTGTTGAGGTCTGCTGCTCTCATAAACCAGAAGTGCCATGTGAAGAACAAGGATATTAGGAAGTTTCTTGATGGGATTTATGTGAGTGAGAAGAGGAGTGATTAGATTTTTGGGATTTGTACTTGTTAAGAGTGCTTTTTCTGATTTTGATTTTGAGTTTTTCATCTGTACTCTTCTTTTTTTTCTTCTTTTTTTCTTTTAAAAAAAAAAAAAAATCTTGAATGGAAATTTTGAAGAATAAGTTTTACTATATTTTGGGTTTCTTTTGCCAAACATAAATTGTGGAATTCTGGGATTATTTTATGCAGGTTATTGATTTTTAAAGTGAGAAATGTGATGGCCAATCTTCAGTTTTTACATGTTGTCTTTGAGCCAAAATCGGAAGAACACTTAAAATAATTTCCACTAATAAAAATGCCCCAAAAATGGTTCTTTATAAAGAGGCCACTGATAAATGGTTCTTTATAATTGGTGGTTCTCTTGTTTTCACTTTCCGGAAAGGAGGATACCTATTTAAAGGTTTTATAAAGAGGCCACTGATAAATATATCTGTTGGTGAGATGAGGCATGTTAAGGAAAACTGGATCAAGGGGCTCTTCTTATTCTGACGAGTCACATTGCATGGAGTGCATGGCTAATCCTCCAGGTGATTTTATAATTGAATTAAGATGACACCCTTTTATGTCATGTAATGTCCAAGTTTAGTTCTTTGTCCAACTTCGGCTCTCTGGTCTCACAGGCTGTGGTCTCCAAAGTCTACACTGCTCGATTATCGCTAACCACGATGATATGCTTTTTCGCATCGTTGCAATCTTCTTTTCTTGATCTGTTTTTCTCAAGAAATCCAATTTCATGGAGACTGGAGTGGAACCTGCAACTTTCAACCATCGCCTACTGCATGAGTGTTCTCTTTCTCATATCTTATTATTAGGTTCACATCGTTGATTTCAACAATTGATCATGCAAATTCTTATCCGAATCTGTAGTTCGATTTAAAAACCTCACAGCAGAACATGTAGAAGAGAACATTGTCTTTAGTGTGTGTGTATAAAGTAAATAAATGGGACATCCTATTTTGTTGTGTCTTATTGGGTGTTTTTCTCCTTGTTGGTATAAGATATATTTGAATCTGTCACAAGTTCTGGTCTTCATCCACTCCTTACTTTTGCAATAGGGAGTTGTAATATCAGCATTGGCCTGCTACCTGCAAACATGGTGCATCAGTTACAAGGGACCAGTCTTCGCAGCTATGTTTAGTCCACTTCAAGTCATTATAGTGGCATTGTTCTCGGCAATTTCTTTCGCAGAGCGACATCGCTTTGGCAGGTAACCTGAAGAACACAGACACCTTCTTCCTATTCCATCTTACTACTTCCACATTTGATGGTTTCACTTATCCATTCTATCACAGTAGTTTGTTTGTCATGAAAATTAGTCACAAATTTAATGTATTTTGTGTAAGTGGTGGTGTGCAGCTTGATCGGAGCATTTCTCATTATCGTGGGCCTTTACTGTGTGCTGTGGGGAAAGAAGGAAAGACAATCTTGTTGCTGAACAGACAGAGAATGGAAAAGGGGTACTTGAAGACATTAAAGTGTTGGAGAATGATATTTCAGTCATAAATCCAGTCACTAGAGAAAGGACATGATCGTAAGAGTTCAGTTTCTTTTTACACATGTGCAGAAGATCAATCCCAGATAAAATTTCAGAGAGGTAAATGCACACCACCTAACTATAAATGATTGCCAAATTGATAATGGTTTGAGCCCTACAATCCAATCCATATGAGCTTATTAATACAAATCAACAAGAGAAATCCTTGCTCTCTTTCATGGTGTCTATTTCAGGGAGTTTTCAATATCGACACAAACCGGTATATCACAACACTTTTTAGTAGCCTCTCAATAGCTTCATTTGCAGATTGAATTGGAATTATTTCAATCATTGGATGAATTCCATTTGAAGCACAGAAATCTATCATTTCTTGGATATCCTTTGTTCCACCTGTTACACAACCAGAAAAGGTTTTCATACCTGCCAAAAGGTCAATGCATGGAGTTCATTATATATACTTGCAATTGCAATAACAGTTGGATATATAAAACTGTCATTTCAATCATTTGAAACATGCCAATGTACCGATATGAAGGTTGGCAGGACTGATTTTGACTTCACTGGGGAATCCCACCATAAGACCAGAACTCCACCAGTTTCAATAGTTCCATCTATGGATCAAAAAGGTGATCACCAGATGCTATATCAATTATAAAGTCTACTGACTTCACCAGGGCCTACATAGCAAACAATAACCTAGAAATACTAAACCCATAGGATGAGCCATCATTTCCACTATTTTTTCTATTGTTCATGTGATGAGGTAAGAAACTTTATGTATTTTTACCTTCATCTGATTTCTGTCAGATGAGACCACAAAGTTATCTGCACCCAGCTGACTTAAAGCTTCCTCTTTCTTGGATATGCTAGTGCTGAAAATTGTTACATTCAAACCAAATGCCTTGCCAAACTTCACTGCCATGTGATCTAGGCCACCAAGGCCAATCACCCCAAGAGATTTACCAGGTTGGTTCATCTTACGGCGTACCATCGAAGCATAAACAGTAATTCCAGCACAAAGTAGAGGGGCTGCCGAAGCCAATGGATAGTTTGCCGGTATTAATGTATGATTGGATGCAGCTTGCTTTTTTATCAAACCAGCGTCCTCATGAAAAGTTGGATCTCTTACTCTTGTGAGATACAAGAGAGGTATTGCACTTTTCTCCCCTCTTAACATTGGGAATTTCAGGTGCACGTGGATATGGTATATGTAAGAATGAGATGCTACTTCTCATCCAACACGTTGTTTGAAATCTCATTTTAGAATACTTCGTATATATATCAATGCCATATGACCTCTGATACCTTCAATTTATTTCAAAACTCTTCTCTTCGTTGTCTCATTAGAATGTTTTGTATCCAATTTTTCATGTGCGGAGATTATATTGATGTATCTCAAAGCAAAAGAGCAGGTTGTCAAGTGCAATGAGAAAAAAGGCTGTCATTGGGTTTAGTTCATAATTACCATGGATACATTTTAAAAAGTAAATTCTTACACTAGCAATTTTATGCTATGAAATTCAAGATTCTTTTATACCCAAAATGTTGGTGGATCCCTATTTTTTGTTGTTGTATTTATGGGTATAACCCGTAATATTTCTCATAAATCAAATCCATTTTTTATTCTTGCCTAATGGACTAATCGTTGGAAATCATTAGAATGTGAGGTATTGGAAAGAATTTAAAATCTCATTCCCCAATATCACTGGTATAAATAAAATAATTGAATAAATATCTCTATCCTAATTAGCTAAAGTTGTATTTTAGCCCTAAACCCTAAAATAACATGAAAAAATTGTATATTCAAAAAGTATAGCCGAATGGCTATACGGGTTCAATATATTATTTTAAAGGTATAGCCGCTCGGCTCTACGGTTTGAATATATTGGAATATTTTAAATATATAGCCGCTCGGCTATACTCTTTAAATATATTTCCAAACAAACACGAAGCTTGCACTCATAATCACAGCCATTTCGTTTCTTTGTAAGCACTTCCAAGCTTCAAAGACTGAGTATTGAGCCTCTCTCTCTCTCTCTCTCTCTCTCTCTCTCTCTCTCTCTCTCTCTTTCAACTCAATCTTCGAAATTTTTTCTTTCGTTTCGGCTGGTGCGTTGATTGGATTGGATTGGACACTCTCTATGAAAACCATCAAATGTCGTTCAGCTGTTGAAATCTCCACTAAGATAACAACTCTGATGCTATAAGTAGTTAGGCGGCGTCTAGGTGGCCTGGGCGGATCTAGGCGGATCTAGGCGGCCTGGGCGGGTCTGAGCGTCCCTTTTTTTTTTTTTTTTTTTTCCAAATGAAGACAGACGAAGCTTGCACTCGCAGTCCAATCTTCAAAATTCAAATACTCGGTCTTGAGCCTCTCTCTCAACTCAAGCTTGGATTTTTTTTTCTTCGGTTTCGGTTGCTGCGTTGATTCGATTTTTTGTGTGCTTTTCTGTTATTGAAGTTGGCAACGTCAGATGAACATCCAAGGCAGTTTCTTAGTATACCAGAAGAAGCCCAGCAGATGGTTCTTTAACCTGAGGCACACCTTGTAGTTTGGCATTGGATTACACTATGCCGGTCTGATTGACAAAGATAGATCTCTGGTCGAGGAGCTTTTTGCAAACAACAAGATTCAGGCATTTCTGTTTTACCTCAATAAGCATGAGTCTTTCCTGAAAAACACATTAGGAAAAGAGAATATAAAAAGATCATTTTCTTAATCTATATACTGATTAGGCATATGTATTAAATTATAGGTATTGGTTTGTACCAGCACATTGGCATGCGGTGTAAACCTATCTGATCATTATTAAGGTAAGGCAAAATTTGTGCGCTATCTTTTTCATTTGGTTCCTATATTCACAAAGGTTTCTAGCAGGAGTATATTGCAGCAGCTGTTCTTCAGAACAAATTTACGTAAATGTTGATTCTCTTGTAGTTGCAGGGAACATAATATTATGATGGGAAGACAAAGAGAATATGTTGATTTTCCAATATCAATCACAGATATATTGCAAGTGATGGTTTTGGTCACATGTGACTATATATATAGAATAAAAAATGGAAAGAAAGAAATACGTGAATCAGATTACATGCTTTTCTCCTTTTATAATCAACAGTTGCTCAGATTCTACAAGAAAGATGAGAGTATATGTCCAATCCGCCCGCGCCTAACAATCAATAAACACGAATCATATTACTTTATGAATATTTGCCTCAAATACTAGGAATCAGGTTGTTTGGGGTTTTGAATATCAGACAACCAAATAAAGTCAATGGATGAAGTCTTGCAGTCCTAAATCTAATCAATAAACCATTTTCCTTTTTATTTTTTCAATACTCTGCACCTATCTTTTTTTTGCTGTTAAAAGTTCAGAACGCCCATCATTTGCATTGCTGCTGTGACAATGATCCTCTTGTACTTAAATGTGGTGAAGACACAAGTTAAAAGCCTTTAAATGTGCCCTTAGTATTTGATTTATTGAGCCTTTACAAAATCTTACATGAGCGTGTAGTTTTCTACAGATGTTTAATCCAGCTTACTATGGCTTGGACAATACTGAACCTGAGTTTTATATAAAGTGGATAAGGACCGCTTAGATGATCCACATGTCAAATCCAATCTGCTATTTCAGGTCAGAGTTGTCTTCAACTATATGTTTTTCGAATAAAAACTTCACGTCGTTTTGCTTTTTAGTTCTCTCGTCGTTTTATTCTCTAACCATGCATGAATTCTGCATTCAAGCACATTTCTCGCAGTTAGAATTACCAATCAGTGATTACGTCACAGACTTGAAGTCAGTAATGGATCAAAGTATGCGAATCATCCAGGCCATGATAGATATATGTGCTAATAGTGGGTGGATTTGAAGCTCAATTACTTGCATGCATCTTCTGCAAAGGGTCGTGCAGGTATTCTTCTTAGTAGTTACAATTCTGACTTCTTAGTAGTAGTACTTGCCTAGAATAAAAGACGAGTGCTAGTGCGAATTGGGCATTCTGCCTTGTTTATATTATTACATTCGACAGCTAGCATATCAGTTGATTAGTTAGAGATGTTAATCGGGGATGCTGAGCACCCTGAAATCCTGCGTACCAGCCAAACAATCCCCCGGTTGGATTGTTTCCCCGGTACATTAGTATAGAGAGAAGTATATGTTATATTATAGTTATATACTTATATATATATATATATGTATGGGTTGGCGAGAGTTGCATATTTTGGGAATGGAGTTGTGGTTGGAGATTTTGAGAGTTATTGGACTTTGAGATTTTATGTTTTGAGTATTTGGTTTATGGATTGTGAAACTGCATGCTTGAGCATTATTTTTACACGGTGGGGTTACTATGTTGTTTTAAATGCAAACTTTATTTTTGTCCACTCACATATTTCTGTTTTGCCTCCCCCCTAGGCAGTAGTTGCTCTTGGAAGCGTTCGAGCAGAGTACGAGCTCAAAACATTCCATCTGTAGATAGGACTTGTGTAAATTTCTTCTACTCAACTGTTTGTTGTAAACAAATTCTGTTAGATGCTCTGTTATCGCCCATGTTAGGTTGTTACTTGAGGCCGGATGCCACTTTACTTTGGATTGTTGTATGTTGAAAGCATGCTGGCAGTTGGGCTTTATATTATGTAAATTATGCATGTTGAATGTTGTTGGGTTTGAGCATTTTACAGGGGAGACTGCCAAAATTTTAGTAGGATGTCTCGGGTTTTAGCAAGTGGGCCCGGCATCGGGGAGATGTCGGCACCAAGACGGGGTCCGCCCCAGTTTCAGGGGAAATTCCGGGGCGGGTCCTGTCAAATCACCCTTTTGATCCATACATGGAACTATTGAAACTGGTGGAGTTCTGGTCTTATGGTGGGATTCCCCAGTGAAGTCAAAATCAGTCCTGCCAACCTTCATATCGGTACATTGGCATGTTTCAAATGATTGAAATGACAGTTTTATATATCCAACTGTTATTGCAATTGCAAGTATATATAATGAACTCCATGCATTGAACTTTTGGCAGATATGAAAACCATTTCTGGTAGTGTAACAGGTGGAACAAAGGATATCCAAGAAATGATAGATTTCTGTGCTTCAAATGGAATTCATCCAATGATTGAAATAATTCCAATTCAATCTGCAAATGAAGCTATTGAGAGGCTACTAAAAAGTGTTGTGATATACCGGTTTGTGTCGATATTGAAAACTCCCTGAAATAGACACCATGAAAGAGAGCAAGGATTTCTCTTGTTGATTTGTATTAATAAGCTCATATGGATTGGATTGTAGGGCTCAAACCATTATCAATTTGGCAATCATTTATAGTTAGGTGGTGTGCATTTACCTCTGTGAAATTTTATCTGGGATTGATCTTCTGTATAATGTGTAAAGAAACTCAACTCTTATGATCATGTCCTTTCTCTAGCGACTGGATTTGTGACTGAAATAACATTCTCCAGCACTTTAATGTCTTCAAGTACCCCTTTTCCATTCTCTGTCTGTTCAGCAACAAGATTGTCTTTCCTTCTTTCCCCACAGCACACAGTAAAGGCCCACGATAATGAGAAATGCTCCGATCAAGCTGCACACCACCACTTACACAAAATACATTAAATTTGTGACTAATTTTCATGACAAACAAACTACTGTGATAGAATGGATAAGTGAAACCATCAAATGTGGAAGTAGTAAGATGGAATAGGAAGAAGGTGTCTGTGTTCTTCAGGTTACCTGCCAAAGCGATGTCGCTCTGCGAAAGAAATTGCCGAGAACAATGCCACTATAATGACTTGAAGTGGACTAAACATAGCTGCGAAGACTGGTCCCTTGTAACTGATGCACCATGTTTGCAGGTAGCAGGCCAATGCTGATATTACAACTCCCTATTGCAAAAGTAAGGAGTGGATGAAGACCAGAACTTGTGACAGATTCAAATATATCTTATACCAACAAGGAGAAAAACACCCAATAAGACACAACAAAATAGGATGTCCCATTTATTTACTTTATACACACACACTATAAAGACAATGTTCTCTTCTACATGTTCTGCTGTGAGGTTTTTAAATCGAATTACAGATTCGGATAAGAATTTGCATGATCAATTGTTGAAATCAACGTTCTGAACCTAATAATAAGATATGAGAAAGAGAACACTCACGCAGTAGGCGATGTTTTGAAAGTTGCAGGTTCCAATCTGAAATTGGATTTCTTGATAGAAAAACAGATCAAGAAAAGAAGATTGCAACGACGCGAAAAAGCATATCATCGTGGTTAGCAATAATCGAGCAGTGTAGACTTTGGAGACCACAGCCTGTGAGACCAGAGAGCCAAGTTGGACAAAGAACTAAAATTGGACATTACATGACATAAAAGGGTGTCATCTTAATTCAATTATAAAATCACCTGGAGGATTAGCCATGCACTCCATGCAATGTGACTCGTCAGAATAAGAAGAGCCCCCTTGATCCAGTTTTCCTTAACATGCCTCATCTCCCCAACAGATATATTTATCAGTGGCCTCTTTACAAAACCTTTAAATAGGTATCCTCCTTTCCAGAAAGTGAAAACAAGAGAACCACCAATGCAGAAAAGTGTGCCAGCCACCTTAGCTTGACCTCTAGCAGTTCTAAACTTCAACTTCTCCAACCTGTGTAAGATCAAGCAAATTGCAGAACAGGAAAAAAGAACATTTATATTCCCCTTTCTAATTAAGCAAGGGAAGGGAAAGGACAGAGAATATACCCAAGTAGAACTGCCATTAGAAATGTCAAGCTGGGAATAACATTACTCAAGGCACATGCAACTGTTGGAGAAGTGTATGCTAAACCAGCATAGTACACATTCAGATGGATGGTGGTTCCAAACAAGGCAAGCACAAAAATTTTGGCAGCTACAGAAAATGAGAGTGAAGGCCTTTGTTTCCTGCTTTACAAATCCATTCAAGAATTAGTTTTCTCTGTTTTTACTGCCTGGAAATATGAAGAGATGCAAGAATCGATATATAACTTACCTTTCAAGTACATAAGCAAATGGTCCTACCAAAACCATGGCCATAACATGCCGCGGTAAACGACGAAGACAATTGGATTGAGTCCTTCTGCAAGGGAGAATTTTATGAGGATGTTTGATCCACCATATATGAGCTGAACCCGTACCATTGCCAAGTAATAAGAGCGTCCCTCCATTGATATGGATACGAAACTTTCTTGGACTAATTTAAAAATTGGGATCACTGCATCAAGCTTTAATGGGTTGGTTTTTTAGCGGAATTCACAATCAGTTTAGCAATTCTTAAAAGGCATGACACCTTACTTTGTCCAGGGTTTAACTTCCTTGATGGTGCAACTATAAAGAACCATTTTTGGGGCATTTTTATTAGTGGAAATTATTTTAAGTGTTCTTCCCGATTTTGGCTCAAAGACAAACATTTAAAAACTGAAGATTGTGCAAAATGAAAGATTGGCCATCACATTTCTCACTTTAAAAATCAATAAACAGCATAAAATAATCCCAGAATTCCACAATTTATGTTTGGCAACAGAAACCCAAAATATAGTAAAACTTACTCACCAAAATTTCCATACAATATTTTTATAAAAAAAAAGAAAAAAAAAAAAAGAAAGAAGAGTACAGATGAAAAACTCAAAATCAAAATCAGAAAAAGCACTCTTAACAAGTACAAATCCCAAAAATCTAATCACTCCTCTTCTCACTCACATAAATCCCATCAAGAAACTTCCTAATATCCTTTCTTCACATGGCACTTCTGGTTTATGAGAGCAGCAGACCTCAACACCAACGCAAACCCACCTTGGCTCCCAGACTCGCCTAGACCCGCGCAGGCCGCCTAGATCCGCCCAGACCGCCTAGCTGCCGCCTAGCTCCTCCCAGACCGCCTAGGGGCCGCCAGATCCGCCTAGACCGCCTAGAGGTCGCCTAGATCCGCCCAGACCGCCTAGCTCCGTCCAGACCGCCTAGGGGCCGCCTAGATCCGCCTGGACCGCCTAGGGGCCGCCTGGCTTCTCCCAGACCGCCTAACTACGAGTTCGAGTCTCTCTCCGTTGCTACCATGGCGTCCAATTTACGTATGTTTCTGATTTTGCAATTTTGTTTTGTTTGTTTAAATGGAAAAACAATTATCAGAGAGTTTCTTCAAAGGATTTTATGATTTTATAGCATCAGAGTTGTTATCATAGTGGAGATTTCAATAGCTGAATGACATTTGATGGTTTTCGTAGAGAGAGTTCAATCCAATCCAATCAACGCAGCAACTGAAACGAAAGAAAAAAATCGAACCTTGAGTTGAGAGAGAGAGAGATAGAGAGAGAGGTTTAAGACCGAGTTTTGAATCTTGAAAGCTCATAGAGAAGCGAAATGGCTGTGACTACGAGTGCAAGCCTTGTGTACCTCTAAAATAATATATTTAATGCTTACAGTCGCACGGCTGTACCTCTAAAATAATATATTTTAAGAGTATAGCCCCGCGGCGATATCTTAAAAATATTCGAATATATTTTAATAGTATAGCCGAACGGCTATACGCTTTAAATATACAATTTTGTCATATTATTTTAGGATTTATAGCTAAAATACCAGTTCAGCTAATTGGGCTGGAGTTATTTCTTCAATTATTTTAGGCTTATTATTACAAAACGTCCCTAAGGTTTACGAAACTATCAGATTGCATCCTTATTATTACAAAACGTCATTGTTGTTAGGTTCCGTTAAAAACTCCGTTAGTTTGCTGACGTGACATATATATATATATATAAATATATCACAAAACATTCATGAGGTTCACCCACCTATCATAAATGGTCCCTACGAAATTTTTTAATTTTTTATATTTAAAATTAATAAAATTTTGATTTTCTTTTTAAAATTTTATGAATTTTTAAAATATTTAAAAATACATATTATATTTTAAATACATGTGACACTATATTTTTGAAGATGTGGGCTCCATATATATGCCACATCAACAAACTAATGAAGTTTTTAAAAAATAATTTAAAATTCATAAAATTTTAAAATGAAAAAACTAAGGGTTTAGGGTTCATAAATGGTCCTCAAGATTAAAATCCTTCTATAAATGGTTTTTTCATTTATAAATAATTTTAAAAAGAAAACTAAAATTTTATGATTTTTATGATTTTTAAATGAAAAAAATAAAAAAATTCGTAGGGACCATTTTGTGATAAGTGTGTGCACCTCATGGATGTTTTGTGATATATATGTATATATATATATGCCACATCAGCAAACTAACGGAGTTTTTGATAGAACCTAACTGCAGGGGCCATTTGTGATCGCACATACTAACCTTAAGGACCACGAGTGACACAAAAAGGCAGATGCTGGTTTTTTTCCCTTTCCTCATAAAAACTTACTCCAGTTGTTTTGATGATTAATTCAGGGGAGACTATTTGGGCTACTTTCGACAACATTGTGGATGGTGTGAGAGACTTGCTCATGTAGTTTTCTTTAAAGGAAGTGCAATTTCGACGTAGGGAGCGTAACAAGGTGGCTCATGCTATTGCCCATTTTGCTTTACACGAACAAGTCCTTATTATTGATTAGAGGAAGGCCTTGTGTGGCTAATGAATTCTATTACTGATGACCTTATTGTAACTAATGCTTCCGGTTAATGAAATTTACTTCTTTTTTATTTTATTTTTATTTTTGAAAGGAAAGGATAACATTTGTTACAATCAACCACCTACTCTTTAAAAAGGTTGAGACTTCAAAAAAACTAAGAATATATGCATGCACCGATCACACATTTGCTAGTTATACACACATATTTTTCTAGTATTCCCTCCTTTGTGAATAGTGACTTGGAAATTTTCATCAATTTTATAAATAAATAAAAATTCTCAACAGAGTCTAGCCCAATATAAAAGAGTCTTAACTTGCTGACTAGTGGTCTCAAGTTCGAATCTTCATAACACCTGGAAAGTATGTGTGAGAAAACCCTCTCCCCTTCCTAACTTTTTTGGCAACAACAAAAAAATCATTATTTTTAAAATGGAAATTTTTTATTTTTTTTGGACGAAAAAATGGAAAAATTATTGAACTTAAGAAATGGCAAATCATGAAAATAGACGGAGCACTAGTACTAAAGAGTACAATATGTACGTTGAGAATTAATAAATTAGTTAGTTAATAGGGCATATAATTAAGTAATATATAGCCGCCAACGAGGAGTCAGTAACGGTTATAGGTAGAGAACATAAAATGAAAACCCTAGAAATAAAAGGGTGAGTGTGTGGTCGCTGGTAATTAGGAGATTAATTGGAGATGGTGGTTATAATATTTCTCCATGATCATTGAAACCACCTCCTTTATCTGCGCCAAAAGAAATGAAAACCCAACTGCCCACCTCCCCCCGCATCTCTCTCTCTCTCTCTCTCTCTTATAGTGAAGTGAGCAGCAGCCAGCACTACAGCAGGTGTTGTTATATATGTTTCAGTTGGTTAATTTGCATATATTTTGATAAGGTTAGTTTGTCACTAAGTCTACTGCAATTCAACAACCAACCAGGTCCCCAGACACAAGAATATCTAATTCTCTCTCAGGTATATCTCTCTCTCTCCCTCTCTCTCATGCATGCATGTCTTAAGGTTTTCCTCATCTTGTTTTACTTAATTATTAACTAATTTTCATTTGGTAAGATCCATATCTCTTCTTTCTCTCTTGTTGGTCTTTCATTTGTCTTAATTTCTCAAATCATGTCTGTTCTGCAGGGTTCTACTTATTAATTTCCATGGCTATGATGAGTAGTTTTTGCCCTGCAGATGACTGGGGCTCTCTTCAGTTTCTCAACCCAGATATGAATATGGTTAGCTTCCAAGCACAGCAAGAGCAGCTGGCAGCTGCTTCAGGCATCTTGGGTCTGCAGGACTATAGCTTACCTAACTTCCCAGACTACACTACTTGCATTGATCCACTCTTCGAAACCTACGAATCCTCCTCCTCTGAAAACTTTCTCCTCCCCGATTTCTATTTGCCAACAGAAAACATCAACTTATCCTCCTTCCAATCACCAGAAATCTTCCCTAGCCTTGATGAATATGGCTGCTCATATCAGCAGAACCCGAAACGCCAAAAGTTTGGCATGTGCAGTTTTTTCAATGCATATGATGATCAGTTTCTCCAGCCTCAACTTTTTGCTCCAACTCCAAGTCCTCAAACCCAGATTCAGCAGCAGCCTTCCTATGAATGTGCTAAGATGAACAAGCCCAATGGTGGGGCAGTAACCCTGTCAGCGCAGAGCATTGCGGCGAGGGAGAGGAGGAGGAGGATAACAGAGAAGACTCAAGAGCTCGGAAGGCTCATTCCTGGTGCCACCAAGATGAACACTGCTGAAATGTTGCAAGCTGCTTACAAGTATGTCAAGTTCTTGCAGGCACAAGTTTCAGTTCTCAAGCTCATGTCGGATTCCCCAGTTCATCAGGTACTAATAATTTCATCTGTACTGTGTACAAAAAAAAAAGTTCAATTTCTTCTTCTGTTTTCTTTAGTGGTGATCTAGTTAATTAATTTAGATATTTGCTGAAATTTTCAAGCAGGAAAAGAAGGATCTGCAAGCTGTTGCATCCCCAGTTGTTCAAGAGAAGCTCTACTCTGAGGAGAAGTGCTTGGTTTCGAAAGAATTTGTTCAAGTCCTCGCAAATGATCACGACATCGAATCGAAACCCTTGCTCAAGGACTGTGTTGCTCGGTTGCTGCAAACCAATGGCTGATAACCAGCCAGATAATTCTAGTCGTTCAAGGCCCTGTTTGTTAATTTCTTAATCTGTTGTTCTTTTTGTTGTATTAATTAATTTCTAGCTAGTTAACCTTTTTTTGTAGGTGCTAATCTAACCAATTTCTTGTAAATCTCTAATTTTCAAGAAATGTATTTTTTTTGGCTTCATGTAAGAATTCTGTCAGTGTGAGATTGTTTTTTGTTTGGTTAAAAAAAATCATGTCATTCTCAGATTGCAGTTTCTGTTTATATATTTGGTTGGTTGCACCCCTGTGCCAAGCTTTAGATATTCTCCAATTACTAAGGATAGAGTTTTTTTTTTTAAAGAAAAAGAAAAAAGGATTGTCGAGGGGCCAAAAGAAATGTTTGATATTAATTTAAAATCGTAATGTTAATTGCAGACCCTTTGGATCTCAATGAGAATTCACACGGTATCAGTTTTGTTAATTATATTTGTCATTAATTATGATTGTTCAAATGATGACTAGCAATTAAGAAAAATGAATGGAGACTCGATGAATTAACAATTTTGTTAAAGGAGTTACTCCTTGATAAGCTGATAAAAATACAATTTCAAATAATAAAAACGAATCTCAATGTTTTTTTCTAATAGAATAAGCAATAGTCTAAACTACAGTCCACAAAGTAAAGGAATCTGCAAATCAATATCTTTTTTCACTAGACTAGCTCCCGTTAACAAAACTAATCCTCATTGAAGTCACAAATTTGCTCAAATAAGTTGCTAAAAACTTCAAATGCGGATTTGGCCTTCTTTTGGCCCTTATTCGGCTAAAGATTTCGTCCCAGTGGAGCCCAAAGTTATGCCCGCTTGGAATTGACAGCTCTCATCTTTCCTTCTTTTGCTTCCATCGAGTTGTTGTATAAAGCTAATTTGTAGCGCTTCTACAGGAGGAAAAAAAACCTTATGTATATGAAAAAGGAAAAATCATTGAAAAGCTAGTGCTTATACTAGCAACCACGCCTTTACCTTTTCTATGCAACCATTGTCTTGTCCATAATCTCCAATGGAACTCCTTGCATAACAGGTCGCATTGTCAGTGTGGATAAGGTAATCTGCATGAAGAGAAACAAAGGAACCAGAGAAACAAAGGAAAACAAAAGAAAAGTTTTACTGAATAATCCTCTTCTCATTTACTGAATTTTCTTACTTAATTACATTTACATTTGAGGTGTATATATATAACCAAGGCTGTACTAAGCTTTCCCTAACAACCTGCTGTAACAAACATAACAGC